GAAATGGAGTTTCACTCTTCTTACCCAGGCTGGAGTGCAATAGTGCAATCTCAGCTCACCACAACCTCCACCTCCAGGGCTCAAGCGATTCTCCTGCCTCAGCCTCCCAAGTATCTGGGATTACAGGCATGCACCACCACGCCCAGCTAATTTTGTATTTTAAGTAGAGATGGGATTTCTTCATGTTGGTCAGGCTGGTCTCAAACTCCCGACCTCAGGTGATCTGCCCACCTCGGCCTCCCAAAGGGCTGGGATTACAGGTGTGAGCCACCATGCCTGGCAAGCCTAGGAATGTGAGACCTGGGCAATATAGCAAGACCCTGTTTTCTAAAAAAATTAATAAATAAGTACAAAAATTAATTTGAGCCTGGGCAATAGAGCAAGACCCTGTTTTCCAAAAAAATTAATAAGTACAAAAATAAATAATAACAAACAAAAACAGAATTGCAAACATTTTCTAAGGTTTCTATTATAAAGCTGTCTCAGAATCTTTTTCTTTTTTTTTTTTTGAGACAGGATCTCCCTCTGTCTCCCAGGCTGGAGTGAGCCACCAGGCGTGAGCCACCACACCAGGCCACTTTTTAAAAATTAAAAATCCAAAGTGCTGTAATCCCAGCACTTTGGGAGGGCGAGGTAGGCGGATCACGAGGTCAGGAGTTCAAGATCAGCCTGGCCAACATAATGAAACCCCGTCTCTACTAAAAATACCAAAATTATCTGGGCATGGTGGTGCATACCTGTAGTTCCAGCTACTTGGGAGGCTGAAGCAGGAGAATCACTTGAACCCAGGAGGTGGAGGTTGCAGTAAACTGAGATCACGCCACTCCAGATCACAGTGATGTGATCTTGGCTTACTGCAGCCTCGACTTCCTGAGCTCAAGTGATCCTCCTACCTCAATCTCCTGAGGGACCACAGGCATGTACTACCATGCCTGACCAATTTTTAAAAATTTTTTGTAAAGACATGGTTTCACCATGTTGCTCAGGCTGGGCTTGAACTCCTGAGCTTAATGGATCCAGCTGCCTTGGCCTCCTAAAGTGCTAGGATTACAGGCATGAGCCACTACATCCAGCCCACAAAATCTTAAAATAATGATACCGAAGGCAGATTTAAATGATTTTTGAGCTATCCTTTAGTTTGAACTTGACCATGTTCTATTTCTTTTTATTATTATAGGGTACTGTATGTCTTTATGCTGTAGATATACATATAACTGCAGAACCGACAATATTTTGATTTTCTGTATCTGATATGACCTATCAATTATGATTAGCCTATTAGATCCCTGAAAGCAAAAACTCTTTCTTCCTCTCTTTATATCTCACTCATCAAAGCCCAACATGGTACATGATAGGTGTCAATTTAATTTCCTTGGGCTTACTTGGGTAAGATATGATGGTCAACAAGGATGAGGGTGAGCTGGCCAGCCTGGTGCAATGCATGGAGGTCAATCTCGTCCCGAAAAATCAAGATGCTCTCTGGAATATGAACCTTCTGAAGAAAGAAGACGATGTCACCTCGCAGAGGTAGCTCAGAACGTTTTATATTTAAAACCGGCACAAAGACTTCCTCGGCCTCATTTGTCTAGATAGGAAAGCAAAAAGATACCACAAAGTTTTATAATGACAGGAAAAAGTAACAAGACTATTGGGATCAAAGGAGACATACTTAAGTAAGTTACCACCTTTCTCAAAGCCACAAGTACTCAGTCTATGACTCTTGAAGGGTGAATCTCGCCCTTCCTCCTTCTTAGCAATAAATGAAGGTCAACAAGGAACTCATAGTAAAGGCCTAGTTCTAGATGCAGTGCTACAGAGAAGGAATTATTAGTCCTCAAGGACTAACCTAGGTGGAGGAATACATGCTAGATCGCTGATACATGTAAGGAACTCAGTAACACACTGTTTGAATATCACTTTATGGTTTACAAACCCTCGAAATATATTTACTCACTTTTTCCTCAGAGGAACACTTGAAAATATTTTAGATTTTATAGATGGTCGCATGAGACTCAGCAAAGTTAAGGGATTTAATTTACCCAATGCTAAATGCTGGTAAGTGGCAGAGCTGGGTTTTGAATCCAGATCTTTTCATTCGAAGGGACTCGGATCCTAGGTGTTACCCTTTTTTTAACCTACCTTTGCTAGGTAAAAAGCCAGGGCGAGAGCAGATACCATGGAGTCCAAATCACAGGCTTCATTTCCAAGCACAACATGTAGAGGTCGGGACTCCTGGAGAGGAAGGAAAATGGGAAACTAACAAAAGTATCTCTATCCATTTCCACTTATCATTTAAAAAAAAATAATATACATACTTTTGAGACAGGGTTTTTTCTCTGTCACCCTGGCTGGAGTGCAGTAGCAGGATGAAGGCTCACTGCAGCCTCAATCTCCTGCTGGGCTCAATTGATCCTCCCATGTAGCTGGAACTACAGGCAAACACCACCATGCTCAGCTAACATTTTGTATTTTTTGTAGAGACGGGATTTTTGCCCTGTTGCACAGGCTGGTCTTGAACTCCTGGGCTCAAGAGATCTATCCGCCTCGGCCTCTGAAAGTGCTGGGATTATAGGTGTGAGCCACTGCGCCTGGCCTCTCCATTTACCTTATACTCATGTAGGGCTTCATATACTTCCTCTCATTGATTTTCACAGAGGAGGTAGGTCAAATAATCTAATGGGTCCCCATTCCATGAATGGCTTTAAGTGTTTCAGCTAAGCTTATAGCATTCTACATATATCCAGTTTGTAGAAAAGTATTCTTTCCTCCTGTATCCTTGAATGTTAACTTACAGAGCAGTAAACAAACTTCTGATTTCTTATACTTCTTTGGACACTCAAATAGTCAAAAAAGGGGATTTAGGGTAGCTGATATATTCAAGGTATGCTTTTGGGTATATCAACCCTGGTTGATTTTTTTTCTTCCCATTTTCATAATAGGGAAAAGAATGCTTACACTTCTAAATCATGAGAACAGGTGAAAAGGCTTTAAGAATAAAGGTTAAAAATAAGATCTAAAGGCCGGGCGCGGTGGCTCAAGCCTGTAATCCCAGCACTGTGGGAGGCCGAGGCGGGTGGATCACGAGGTCAAGAGATCGAGACCATCCTGGTCAACATGGTGAAACCCTGTCTNTGTAATCTCAGTTTCCGACCTGGGCCGGTTCACCCCTCCTTAGGCAACCTGGTGGTCCCCCACTCCCGGGAAGTCACCATATTGATGCCGAACTTAGTTCGGACACCCGATCGGCATAGCGCACTACAGCCCAGAACTCCTGGACTCAAGCGATCCTCCCACCTCAGCCTCCCGAGTAGCTGGGACTACAGGCACGCGCCACTGCACCCGTTCACTCTCTTCTTTAGAAAAAACATGCATAACCCTTAATTCCAAGCCCATCCTCCACCAGCTGAAAGCACAAGCCCAACAGCCTCAGTTTTCTGAGCATCAGAGAAAGAGTTCAGGGAAAATACAGCTATACTTAGCAGCATGAGGAAACCTAAGCTGCCAATGGAAGAAATACAATCTGAGAGCCACAAGTAAATAAATACAAACCTTTTTTCTTTTTTTCTTTTTTTTAAAGACACACTAGTTGAAATGACTCTCTTATCCTGATATGTTCTTTGTGGCCTCTCGAGGACAGGGCAGGGAGAGGGTTAGGACTGGCAAAGTAAACCACTTCCCCTCTAAAGCTAAATATGGTATGATAACTACTCTTCAGAGTAGTTAATGGGGGAGAAAAGCAAACAAGACAGAAAGCCAGAGAGAGACGAAACCTCTCAGCAGAGAAAATGGGAAAAATACTGATGCCAGGACAGCACATTTCTAAGGAGACCCAGCTCCTGATTCCTGCCTCATGCCTGAGAAATGCACACAATACATTATCCAAAGGCTCCTGGATGAACACCTAACTGCAATGCAGCCCCACCCTGAAGCAAAGATTCCTCCTTCCTAGAAGTGAAAGATGAGTCACCATAAATAGGACGTTTAGTTAAATTAAAAAAAAAATTTTTAATGGAACATCCTATTGTCCCTGTGACAGAGGCTGTCGAAAATTTCTCTGGTATCAAATGCTAAAAATGTGGTAGTAACAGGAGACTTGGCTGGATTACCAGCTGTCTTTATCCTGTGTAAAGAGGAGCATTCATGATTTCCTGAAAGTTATAATTAAACTATAGTTTAAGAGGAACATTCAAACTTGAGTGTATCTGTCTAAATCATCTCTCTTTACACAAGAAACCTAACAGGGTGGCCTCTGGAGACTGGATGGAGAGGAGAAAAGAAAGAGGATCTTTATCTTTTTCATTTCATATCCTTTTGGTATTTAAATTTGTTCATTAAGCACACATTTACTACTTCTATAATTTAAAGCAATCTAGGCAGGGCATGGTTGGCTCCACCTGTAATCCCAGCACTTTGGGAGGCCAAGGCAGGTGGATCACTTGAGGTCAGGAGTTCGAGACTAGCCTGGCCAACATGGTGAAACCCTGTCTCTACTAAAAATACAAAAGTTAGCCAGGCATGGTGGCGCACACTTGTAATCCCAGCTACTCAGGAGGCTGAGGCAGGCGAATCACCTGAATTTGGAGAGTGGAGATTGCAATGAGCTGAGATTGCACCACTGCACTCAGCCTGGGCGACAGACCAAGACTCCATCTCAAAAAAAAAAAAAAAAAAAAAAAAAAAAAAAAAAAAAAAAAAAAAAAAAAAAAAAAAAAAAAATAAGATCTAGTCCATTATCCAGATGTCCAGGAAAACTCCCCCTACTCTGAGGCCCAACGATAACCATATATAACCACTACCTTTCACAATCCAAGCAGATACTTTTCCCAGCAGGTTCAGATTAAAGTAAGAACAGTTGCTGCTGCTAGGACTTCTCTTTTTATTTTTTTAAATTTTGAGACAGAGTTTCACTCTTTTTGCCCAGGCTGGAGTGCAATGGTGTGATCTCAGTTCACTACAACCTCTGCCTCCTGGGTTCAAGCGATTCTCCTGACTCAGCCTCCCAAGTAGCTGGGATTACAGGTGCCTGCCACAATGTCCAGCTAATTTTTTGTATTTTTAGTACAGGCGGGGTTTCACCAGGTTGGCCAGGCTGGTCTAAAACTCCTGACCATAGGTGATCCACCTGCGTCTCAAAGTGCTGGGATTACAGGCGTGAGCCACCATAGAACTTCTCTCTTTAAAGCATGAAAAGTCCAGCTGCTATGAAGTCTGGGTGGGGGATATCTGCTATTTTTAACCTATTCCCTTACAAATCCTTAGCTTTCAGAGTTTTAAATAAAATATACTAGGCCAGGTACAGTGGCTCACGCCTATAATCCCAACACTTTGGGAGGCTGAGGCGAGTGGATCACCTGAGGCCAGGAGTTAGAGACAAGCCTGGCCAACATAGTGAAACCCCATTTCTACTAAAAATATAAAAATTAGCCGGTGTGATGTCGGGCACCTATAATCCCAGCTACTTGGGAGGCTGAGGCAGGAAAATCACTTGAACACAGGAGGCAGAGGTTGCAGTGAATCAAGATCACACCATTGCACTCCAGCCTAGGCAACAAGAGTGAAATTCTGTCTCCAAAAAGTAAATAAATAAAATAAAATATACTAAAACTAGAGTACCCAAAATTGGGGAGACAGCGTCTTGGTTTTTGTTTTGTTTTTAAGCATTTATTGAGTGTGCCAGGCATTATTCTAATATTTAATGATGTGTTAATCAATCATTTAATCCTTAACCTGATGTGGCAGGTACTTAAATTATTTCACTGCAGGTATAAACATTCTGTTAGGTGGAATGAGACCATAAAGCCTACGGCTCAGCATAGGGCACAATACTTCTCTCTTACGAGCTTCGTCTTTTTTTTTTAGATAGGGTCTTACTCTGTTGCCCAGGCTGGAGTGCAGTGGTACTGTCTTGTCTTACTGCAACCTCCACCTCCTGTGTTCAAGCGATTTTCCTGCATCAGCCTCCTGAGTAGCTGGGATTACAGGCACATGCCATGATGCCCAGCTAATTTTTGTATTTTTGGTAGAGACTGGGTTTTGCCATGTTGGCCAGGCTGGTCTCGAACTCCTGACCTCCAGTGATCCGCCCACCTTGGCCTCCCAAAGTTTTGGCGTGAGCCACCATGCTTGGCCCACCAGTTTACTTTTGAACTTCTATCTCAGCCTGATTCTGAGAGAGGATGAGATGAGAGAGACAAAATGAGACACACTAAATATAGCAGGGTTTCTCAATTACAGCATGACTGGTATTTTAGACTAGATAATTCTTTTTCATTTTTTTTATTTTTACTTTTTGAGACAGGGTCTTACTCTGTAATCCAGGCTGGAATGCAGTGGCACAATCATGGCTCACTGCAGACTCCACCTCCCAGACTCAGGTGATCCTCCCACCTCAGCCTCCTGACTAGCTGGGACTACAGGCATCTACCACCATCCCTGACTTTTTTTTTTTTTTTTGAGATGGAGTCTCACTCTGTCACCCAGGCTGGAGTGTAGTGGCGCAATCTGGGCTCACAGCAACTTCTGCCTCCCGAGTTCAAGGGATTCTCCCGCCTCAGCCTCCTGAGTAGCTGGGATTATAGGTGTGCACAACCACACTAGGCTAATTTTTGTATTTCTTACTGAGACAGGTTTTCACCATGTTGGCTAGGCTTGTCTTGAACTCCTGACCTCAGGTGATCCGCCCCCCTTGGCTTCCTCAAGTTCTGGGATTACAGACATGAGCCACCATGCCTGGCCAAATTTTTGTATTTTTTTGTTGAGATGGGGTTTCACCGTGTTATGCAGGCTGGTCTTGAACTCGTGGGCTCAAGTGATCCAGCTGCCTCAGCCTCCCAAAACGCTAGGATTACAGGCATAAGCCACGATGCCCAGCTGGATAATTCTCTTTTTGTGGAGCCTATCCTGTGCATTATAGGATATTTGGCAGCATCCCTAGCCTCTACCCACATGGATGCCAGTAGCACCCTAGGTCATGACAAACAAAAATGTCTCCAGACTTGCTGAATGTTTCCTGGAGGGCAAAACCACCCCCAGTTGAGAACTACTGGGTTACAGGAAGGTGAAAATCCATATACTCTGACTTCTTCATTCAGGGAATATTTGCTAGACACAAGCGTTTAGCAAAGTGGGAAGGTTCAGAGGAGTAACACATAGCAAAGAACAGTCATCAACTAATGTAACTTTAGGAAAAAAGAGGAATCTAGGGAAGCCCAGAATCTTCTTCCCTATACAGG